AGCTTTCCATTAGAGAACATCAAAGGCATTAAACTAGCAATAGCATGTATCCATGTTAGACTACCACAAGTCACCCTACCTTCTCTAAGTAATACAAAGTATTCATCCCCTTTATTAGATAATCAAATCATTCCCATGGAACAACACTTACCCCATTCTCTGGCTACCCACTAAAAGACATTCAACTCCTATGCTACAATTAACCACAGATTGTCATAATACAAAGTAGCAGCTATTTACAAAGATTAGCTTCAGTGGAAAAGTTCCATTTTAAATATGAAAACTTTAAAATGGGAACAGATTCCCATTTCTGGCACGTGGGCCACACATAAAGTAAATTAGGCCTTAATTTAATTAATGTGCTTCTCTACAGTTAATTGCTTCTCCATAGCCCTCTATATGGTCTCCCTTTGGCTGCTAGTCCGGATCTTTCTCTAGACTTCCTCAGCTCTCAGTCAACATCTACAGAGTCCCCTCTTGTGTTATAGGCTGAAATATAATGAGGGGCCAAAGAAGACTGGGAAGACGAAGAACAAAGGGAAGAGGAAAAGGAGAAAAGGGATCACGCTGACAGGGGTGTCCTACGGCTATAAAATCTTCTTAGAATACCAGTCAATATATTCCCAAAGAAACTATACTGAGTACTGAGACCATGATGAAAAGTGATTCTACAGTTTCTGCTTTTCCTCTATTAGGAGAAGGATGAGAATTATGAGGAATATAAAGACAAATAAGGAGGTATCACAAAATGTACTTTAATGTAATTAATTATTATGCTTGCTAATTTGGTATATAAACACATCAAAATTATATAAATACATTACCTAGCTTTACACAATAGAGTATACAGGCACTAAAATATTTATAGCAGACTGTCTATATATTTAAATACATCTTTATGAAAAATCATGCATCAAGACTATGGAAAGAGGCTAATACTAGAATATTTGTGGGAAAATCAGATTCAACTCTATTATTTCGACATATAGTATGTAACAGTAAAGTCTGGTAAAGTTCAACTAAGGTAAAAAAAATTACTATAAGCAAGTGCTTAAGCAATAACACCAATTACCGGGCTCCTTTACTGCATTTCTAATGAGTTATTAAAAAGCAAAAAAAAGGGGGCATCTGGGTGGCTCAGTTGGTTAAATGTCTGCCTTCAGATCGGGTCATAATCTCAGGGTCATGGGATGGAGCCCCAAATTGGGCTCCCTGATCAGCAGGGAGTCTGATTCTCCCTCCCCCCTCAACCTCTATCCCTCCACCTTGTTTGTTCTCTCTCTCGCTCAAAAAAAAAAAAAAAAAAAAAAAACCCCAAAACCTTTAGAACAAAACAAAAAAATACTGGGTCAATTATCAGTGTTACAGATGTTCTATGTAAGGAGCACTTCAGAATCTTTGCTAATTATAACATTTATTAAATAAATATGAAAGGACTAAAGGGAAATTAATTCCTTCACTGTTAAATAAATGTATACTGTTGAAGCTCTGATTTAAAAGGTCTTTCTGTGTGCTCTTGACAACTACTTAAGGTCTGAGTACAAAGGATAAATATCCAAAAATGTTGTAGTCATATAGGCCATTCGAGTCATATGGAGAAATCTAAATGAAATGGGAATAGGTCATGATGTATTTTTATATAAAAGTATATTTCATTGGGGGTGCAAAGATGAAGTGTATAATTTGATTTGATCAATTCCTTCCTCAGATTATATGGGTATAGAGTTCCCATCGGTACACACTAACAGATTAAACACTGTGGTTTAAATTTTTCTCATGTTAATACATCTGTGAAATTGCAAGGGAAATTAGGAGGAAAAGATGATATGCCACAGAAATACCAGATTTATTATTAAGAATACAGATGTGAAAATTCAAGAACCAGCCCTCTTTCATTCTTCTGGACTGCCACATTTTGCTCAAAATAATGATCTTTTTTCCCTCTAACAAGAGTTAAGACTGGCGCCAGTATAGCAAAAATGCTAAGAAAATGTATATTTTCTAAGTAGTTCTCGAGAGGAATTTTGATACAGCTTTCATACATTAAACAAGTGCTAATAATAACAAAACACTGCAATGTTCATATACAAAGAGTAGTAGCACTGTTATACAATACTTAACATATTATCTCTTTATATTCATCTACAGTGACTGAAACTGCCATTCAGAATCTTTTTCCTAGCTATAAAGATTTAAAAGAAGTTTACTTTTAAGATGAATTCCAGAAACAACTGCAAGTAACGACTAAAAAAATTCCACTGGAAATTTGAAAGTAGATGCAAAGGTTTTCTCCAAATCATAGAATAATTATTAAAAAAAAAAGATAATCCCATGTATGCCTATGTTCAATCTTAGCAGCAATAAATTAAAAGGCTGAGGAAGGTGGTTTTTGTTCTACAAGTATGTGTATTTTACTTCCTTTCTCCTTTTATGTGCATGTCTCTTTGGGTGTCTAAGGTCTCCATATTTTTCAATGTGCTTAAGATTCTTTATCCAATGTTGGCCTTCAAGCCTGCTTTTTCTTGCAACAACAACAAAATGCCTTTCCCAAAAAGTAATGGTGAACTCTAAGTGGGCAGAAAGAGGGCTACAAATATGAAGTATAATTATACTTTAGAGAAATCAATAGGATTAGTATTTAACTAAGTATTTTAATTTTATCCCCATCTCGTAAAGTAATTTTACTCTAAAAGAATAAAAGGACAAAGCTGAGGATGAAGGGGCTTACGAGTTCAGCCAGAGATTCTTTGGGGGAAGAAATATGAAAGGCTAAAGGGAACTTTCTGAGAAAAGAGGAAGTAAATAATACTGGGACAGGAGACAAAAGTCTTAGACGTTGATGACCAAAGAATAAAGGGATTCAGTCCATGAAGACATAGAAGGTGCAAATGCAGAATGGAAGGGATCAGGAATAACCTGCAAGGAGGGCCAATAGCAGAAGTTATAATTTTGAGAAAATAATATCTGAAAGGCAAAAACCAAGAAAGTTTCAGCAGACTTGGTGTCTACAGTGACCAAGGATTTTAAAAAAGAAGTCAGAGGAGCCCTAACTGGACAGGATTTTAGCTGTGCAGGCAACAAAAGGACCAAAGACCAGGAGAAAGATGGACAGATCTAGCTATGGGTTAATGTATAATGAAAGAGAAGGATACAAGGTGAATGACAAAAGGAACTAGTCAGTGTTTACTGCTACCTCAAGACTGACCACATAATGATCAACATGCAATACAAGTAAGATGTGTGCAGTTTGTTTCTTAACTTCAATGAAGTTACTATTTTTATGGGTCATTGACCCTTGAATTAAGAGGTTCCCTATACTATATCCGAAGTTAGGGAAGTCAAAAAGTGTCTAAGAGGATTAGCAAAGCTTTCAATTTTTTGTGCCACATTGGGGGCCTTTATTAAAATCAAACACTAGAAGTTTATTTTTGTGTGGAATAATCACTTGAAATTTTAATGGCATACTCAGTAAGCAGCTGCTCATTAAGATAATATTTCCAGTTACTGGCTTAGAAAGCAAGATTCTGAGATTACTGCTTGGCACAGGCCTGTGACTTGTCAACCAAAAAAGTTACTTCCTCTTTACAATAATGAATTGCAGAAGTACAGTTAAACAGTTATCTATGAGGGTTTATTGGCAGGCATAGGATATGGTGGGTGAGCAGAGATACTGATATTTTTTTCTGCTAGTGACCAAAATATTTACAAATTTCATAAAATGGAAAGAACTTTCTAAAAAATTAATAAGATCTGTTTCACAAATAACCAATTCAACTGGAAGACTGAATAGTAGAAATGACAAAAGATTTGTTCTTATGGTTGATAAAAAATTTATATCAGGGCATTCAAGTAAAGTTATTTTCTGTGTTCTGATTTAATGAATCATGTGAGTTGTATCTGGCTGGGTGACACAGATGCTGGCTCACTGAAGCCTACTCTAATGCCTCCCAGCACAGCCTTCCTTGGGACAGTGAAGCCAGAGCAACATGTCAGACTGAAGAAATATCAAAGAAAGAGAAAGCAGGGCTGGAGATGCTATGAGGTTGGCTCATAACACTTCTTGACCTGTGTGTCCAGTAAGTATTCAATGTCCTATGGGCTTCAATGACCTAACAAGCACCAAGTAGCAACAGCAATGCAGTAACGAATGGTCCTCAAAAGAAGACTTGCAATTCAAGCTGAAAAACACTACACTTACTAGATGGTTTTAACCCTACTGAAAGACAGCTTTAGAAACCACTAGTGATTTCTTAAAAGGTGAATGAGTATTAAATGTTTTATATATGCTTGTGTAGTATCTACTTTAGTTCCTTTACACCTGTCTGATTTTAAAGATGTGTATTAGTTTGGATATTAAAACCTTTCCAAAGCTATTAATAATAAAATATGTTAAAAAATGAAATAGCATTAAATATGTTGGTAAAACTACAGTTATAAATAATGAGACCCATTCAATGTTAAAAAAATACCTTTTTTTTTTTAAGATTTTATTTATTTATTTGACAGACAGAAATCACAAGGCAGAGAGGCAGGCAGAGAGAGAAGAAGAAGCAGGCTCCCAGCCGAGCAGAGAGCCCGATGCGGGGCTCAATCCCAGGACCCTGAGATCATGACCCGAGCCGAAGGCAGAGGCTTTAACTCACTGAGCCACCCAGGCGCCCCCCAAAAAATGCATTATTAAAAATGAAATTAAAGGACTATTCCATATATATTCCACATGGAGACGTTCTCCTCTTTCAAAAGATAACAAATAATATTTGTGAAGAAAAAGGCCCTCAGAAGAAAAGATGGTAAAAAAGATAAAGAGAATAATTAAAGCTTATCAACATATTGGCATATCGCTTTACATGAAAGTTATTTCATCACATACTAAAGGAAAGCAAGGCACAAAATAGAGGTACATTTTCTAAATATGCTTACAAAATCAATGAATAACTTGGTTTTTCCCTGAATAAAAATCCTATTTAGTGTTTAGAATTAAAACCTGAAGGAGTACTTACAATGACAGCAACACCACAGCAATTAAGGTCCACTCTGCAGGTTTGTGTATAATATTTCTATTTGTTAATCTGTAAGACAGAAAGATAAAGTTTACCAAAGAATTGTTACCTTTAAATACACAAACCATCTATTTTTAAATAAAATCAGACTTATGACATTATGTGTTAAAGAGCACTATTTTCTATTCTTTTTATGTTTGATAGGAGTCAGCAGTATAAAACTGTGGCTTAATCTTCAGCAGCTGATAATGACCATTATTTTTTTTTTTTAAAGATTTTATTTATTTATTTGACAGACAGAGATCACAACTAGGCAGAGAGGCAGGTGGAGAGAGAGGGGGAAGCTCCCTGCTGAGCAGAGAGCCCAATGCAGGGCCTCGATTCCAGGACCTGAGCTGAAGGCAAAGGCTTCAGCTCAGGCTGAACCTGAGCCACCCAGGCGCCCCTGATAATGACCATCTTAAAAGAAAGTGCTCCAGCTCCACTTCTATGTATTTATAGCAATTTATAACAATGTTACTGTTAGACATGATGGGGATATAGGAACAATATGGGCAACTAAACTGCATGGTTTATTAAAATATACACAAAGAGTTCCCTGTAACCATTATCTTCTATATTTTCCCCCAATCAACTTTTTTCATTTAAATTAACAAACTAATAGACAATTTCTAATTTTAATTCATCTTTTGCACCTTCCTACCTTGTGGTAGGTTGGCAGCAGGCACCGAAGGGATGTCATAATCCATAATTTACAGTAAGAGTTGACAATAAATTATAAGACTAGGTCTTTAACAAAAAGAGTTTTATGATACGAAGGGGCACCAGCATCCCAATGTTTATAGCAGCAATGTCCACAATAGCCAAACTATGGTAAGAGCCCAGATGTCCACTGACAGATGAATGAATAAAGAAGATGTAGTATATATATACACAATGGAATACTACAGCCATCAAAAAATGAAATCTTGCCATTTGCAGTGGACGATGGAACTACCGGGCATTATGCTAAGCAAAATAATTCAATCAGAGAAAGACAATTATATGATATCACTCATATGTGGAATTTAAGAAACAGAACAGAGGATCACAGCAGAAGAGAGGAAAAAATAAAACAAGATGAAATCAAAGAGAGAGACAAACCATAAGAGACTCTTAATCACAGGAAACAAACTGAGGGTTGCTGGAGGTGCGGGGGAGGGAGGGATGGGGTAACCGGGTGATAGACATTGGGGAGGTTATGTGCTATAGTGAGTGCTGGTTATTATATAAGACTGATGAATCACTAACCTCTACCTCTGAAACCAATATTACATTATATGTTAATTAACTGAATTTAAATAAAAAAACAACTTTTAAAAAATTAAATTAATTCTAACACTTAGCAGTTGATAACAAAATACACTGTAGTCAACTTAGTTTCTCAAAAACCATTTGGAAAAACTGCTCTTAATAAAAAATGATATAAATCAGTAAGAAAAAAAAGACAGCCAATGATATCTGATAAAGGACTGTTACCCAAAATAGACAAAGAACACTTAAAATTTAACAATAGGCAAACAAATAGCCCAATTAAAAAATGGGCCAAACACCTTTACAGACATCTCACCAAAGATAAACAAATGACAAACAGGCAGATGAAAAGATTCTCCACTTTGTATCTCATAAGAGAACTGCAATAAAAAATGAAACTGAGATACTGCTATATACCAATCGCAACTGTCAGAATCTTGAACATTGACAAAACCAAATGCTGAATCAAAATCCATCCACAAGAGTCATACATTTGCTACAAATGATAAACCTACACTGACATTAACACATTGGTCAAATGTTTGGCTCTGTAGCAAATGTTTGCTCTGTGGAGCAACAGGAACTCTTACTCATTGCTGACAGGAATGCAAAATGGTACAGCAACTTTGGAAGAGTTTGCCGCTTTCTTACAAAACTAAACATACTCCACCATCTGATCAGCAATAATGTTCCTTGGTGTTTACCCAAAGGAGTCAACAACTTATGACTATAAAAAACCTGTGCACAGATCTTTATAGCAACTCTATTTACAACTTCCAAAACTTAGAAGGAACCAAAATGTCCCTCAGTAGGTGAATGGAAAAATAAGCTGTGGTACATCAAGATAATGGAATATTACTCAGCCCTAAAGATCTGCATTATCAAGCTGCAAAAAGACGTGGAGGTGCTTTATTTTATTTTTTTTACAGATTTTTATTTACTTGAGAGAGAGAGAGAGAGAGAGAGAGAGAGAGCGCATAAGCAGGGGGCACGGCAGGCAGAGGGAGAAGCAGGCTCCCCACCAAGCAAGGAGCCTGACATAGGACTCTATCCCAGAACCTTGGGATCATGACCTGCACTGAAGGCAGACATTTAACAGACTGAGTCACCCATGTGTCCCAAATGGAGGTACTTTATATGCATATTACTTATGTGAAAGAAGCCAGTCTAAAAAGGCTACATACTGTATAATTCCAACTATATGACATTTGGGAAAAGGTAAAACTATGGAGATGGTAAAAAGATCAGTGGTTGCTAGGGGTTGTGGAATGGGGGTGGGGAGAAGTAGCAAATAGGTGGAGCACAGAGGTGCTTTAGGGCAGTGAAAATACTGAATGATACTATAATGATAGGTACATGTCATACAGTCATCCAAACCTATAGATTATATAATACCAAAAATGAACTCTAATGTAAATGGTGGACTCTGGGTGACAATGATGCTGTCGATGTAGCTTCATCAGCTGTAGCAAATGTATAACTCTGGTTGGGAGGTTGCAAATGGGGGAGGCTACGCATATGTGGGGACAAGGAGTATTACAGGGAATCTCTCTGGACCTTTTTCTCAATTTTGCTATGAACTTAAAACTGCTCTTAAAATATAGTCTTTAAAAAAAAACCCAGCCAATAAACAAATAGACAAAGGATATAAGCAGGCAATTTACAGAGGAGGAAAGCTGAACAGTCAGTAAACATTTGAATAAGAGTTTAATTTCACCAGCAAACATTGAATACGAGTTAAATTTCACTAGTAATCTGGAAAACTAATATAAAAGCAATAATTCACTCCATCACATGGCAAAAATAAAATACTGATAATACCAAAGGTTGGTAAGAATATGAATAGCATTTTTAACCTACTTGATGTGAGCAATCAAACAACAATTTGACAATATCTAATAAAGCCGAAATGCTTATGAACAGCTCAACTATTTCACTTCTGGATAAAAACCCTAAACAAACTCTCACTTATGTTTATGGAGATATGTATAAAGGTAGTTAATGTGCTTGTAATAGGAAAAAAAATCACAAATTGTGGCATTTTTATGGAATGTTGAAAAGTCAAAATGATGAATGAACCAGACTTACGTATTTTGCTCATCATAATTTGGAAGATAGCAAGTATGGTATCACATTATATAACTCAAGAACAGACAATATTATTTATGGATACACAAAAGTAGAAGTATAAAAACAAAGACTAGAAAGACATGTATCAAATTCACAGTATCAGTTGCTTCTGGGGGAGGAAAAAAGAATGGATTGGGAAAGAGAACAAAGGGGAATTCACGTCAGGGCCTTTGCATTGGTTATTCCATTGCCTGAAACTATCTTCCCCAGGTAAGTTTTCTTACCACCTTCACAATAAGGCCTATCTGGACCACCACATTAAAAAGTGAAACTTCTAGGGGCACCTGGGTGGCTCAGTCGGTTAAGCATCTAACTCTTGATTTTGGCTCAGGTCATGATCTCAGAGTGGTGAGATCGAGCCCTCTGTAGGGCTCTATGCTCAGTGGGGAGTCGGATGGAGAGTCTCTCCTTCTCCCTCTGCTCACATGTGCATGTTTTCTCTCTCTCAAATAAATAAAATCTTTTTTAAAAAAGATTTTATTTATTTATTTGACAAACAGAGATCACAAGTAGGCAGAAAGGCAGGCAGAGAGAGAAGGGGAAGCAGGCTCCCCGCTGAGCAGAGAGCAGGATACGGGGCTCTATCCCAGGACTCCAGGATCATGACCTGAGCTGAAGGCAGAGGCTTTAACACACTGAGCCACCCAGGCACCCCTCAAATAAATAAATCTTAAAAAAAAAAGAAGTGAAAATTCCTTCCACTTCCCATCCCCAGACTCCTGACTCCCTTATCCAGCTATATATTTTTTTCTCCTATTCCAGTTATCACTTTTTTAAAAAGACTTATTTTATTTACAACAGAAAGAGTGTGTGTGGAGGAGGGGAACACAAGCAGACTTCAGGCTGAGCTCAGAGACCAAAGCATGGCTGAAGCCCAACATAGGGCTCAATCCCAAAACACTGAGATCAGACCTGAGCTGAGACCAAGAGTCGACATTCAACTGACTGTGCCCCTCCCAGGCACCCTTCTACTATCACCTTCTAACATATATAGTTATTGTTTACTATCTGTTTGTTTTTTTGGCCTGTGGCAGGAATCTATATGTTCTTCACCTATTTACTTCAGATTGATTTCTTGAGTGTTCAGAAAAATTTGATATTTATCTAGCTGTGTTTGAGGGATGAGGCAAGCATAGTGGTCCCCCTACTACTCTGCCATCTTAACTCTTTTCTCATCGCTTATTTATTCCAAACGCCCAGAACAAGGTAGGCATTCAATTAATTTTTTCTGAATGACTGACTTAACCTTTAATATTTTCTTTAAAAAATATACATCTGGATCAAATATTACAAAATATTAATATCTATTAATTGAGTAGAGAATATGTATATCTTTATTACATTAATCTGAATTTTTCCCATAGTTAAAATGTTTTACAAAAATTTAAGAAGTCCAAAAGATATAAAGTACACTATAGTGGTTAAAAATTCTGACAGAGGGGCACCTCGGTGGCTCAGTGGATTGGGCCTCTGCCTTCAGCTCAGGTCGTGATTTCAGGGTTCTGGGATCCAGCCCTGCATCAGGCTCTCTGCTCGGCGGGGATCCTGCTTCCCCCCACCCCGCCCTGCCTGTCTCTCTGCCTACTTGTGATCTCTCTGTCAAATAAATAAATAAAATCTTTTTTTTTTTTTAAAGATTTTATTTA